AGGAATAAAGTGGTCTTCTGCTTTGAGCTTAAGCTGGGGAATTTGGATGTCCTCAACTGGGGTATCATTCCCTTGTTCATTCAGTATTTATTCTGGCTCTGCCATGTTCTGGAATGTGTTTAAAGGGGTTAAAGTATAGGCTTAGGAGGCACGTAGATCTGTAGCACATCTTGACTCTGTACCTTCCCAGCTGTGTGACTTTGGGAAGAGAGATTTATTTATTTGAGCCTCATTTCTTCTTTTTTGGGAAAAAAAAGAAATGTGGCTTATAATACCTACTTGCAGTGTTGTGAGGTATGATAATTTATATGAAGTTCTTTATAGAGGTATCTGACGTGCAGTAAACATTCCACAAGTGGTCACTTAATTTTGTATTGAAGTATATTTCATTTGATGTGAATTTCACCATTTTAACCATTTTAAAATGTGTGCAAGTAAGTGTTTTTTTAGTGTATTCACAATGTTCTATAACCATCACCACTGCTTAATTCCAGAACATTTTTATAACGCAAAAAGAAAAGAAATCCGTGTTACCCACTGAGCAGTCACTCTTTATTGCCTTTTTCCCCTACTCTTGGTAACAACTGAACTACTTTTTGTCTCTATGGGTTTACCCATTCTGGTCATTTCATATAAATGAAATCAGTACATGGCCTTTGTGTCTGGCTTCTTTCGCTTTGCATATTTTCAAGATTCATCCATGTTGTAGCATGAGTCAGTACATCATTTCTTTTTGCAGTTGAATAATACTCTGTTGTATGGGGATACCACATTTTGTTATCCATTCATAAGTTGATAGACAGTTGGGGTTTCTTCTGCCTTTTGGCTGTTAATGAATAATGCTGCTATGAACATTCATATGTGAGTTTTTGTTTGGGTATATGTTTTCATTTGTCTGGCATATATACCTAGGATTGGAATTGCTGGGGTATGGTAATTAGCTTTCTGAGGAACTGCCATACTGTTCTCCACTGTGGCTGCCCATTCTACATTCCGCAACAAGCATATGTGAGAGTTCCAATATCTTTACATTCTTTATGACGCTTGTTATTTTCCTTTTATTTTTGATTAGAGCCATCCTAATGAGTATAATGTGGTATCTCATTGTAGTTTGGATTTGCATTTCCCTAATGACTGATAATATTGAGCTCCTTTCATATGCTTATTGGCATAGCCTCTTTTTATTATTCTTTCATTAAACATTTTTGTTTGATGAGTCTCTATTGTGTGGATAGTTCTATGATATGGGCCCTGCCCTGAGGTTACTCATATGCCAGTGGGTAAGATCTTTAAGCAGATAATTGCGAATACTAAGATAATAGACTACAAAGAAGGTTTGTAGGATGTGTAGATGTGTAAGGCATCTTTGAGGAGGAGGAAGGAGATGAGTGGAGACTAAGCAGAGTTTGTCAAGCACACAAGGAAGGAGAAGGGCATTCTAATTAGGTGAAGAGCTTAGAGCCTTGGGTATAGCTTGTGGGGGGATGAGACCTCCTGTCATCAGATGTGGAGTGTCACCCGTCTCAGGCAGCTAAGCAGGTCTCTACCTCCAGAAGAAAGCCTGCCCCAAGCCAGCAGAAGCCAGCAGGCAATCCTTGCTGAGCTCGTCATCCACTGTTCCTTTGTCTGCACAGGGCTCTGTTGTTTTCAAGGAACATTTACTGAGCTGATTTGATCCTCACTTGAGGTAGATTCTGTATCTCCATTTCTACAGAGAAAAGTGATGCCCAGTGAGGTAGCAGCTTTCCTGACATCTCACACCTACAAAGTAACAGAACTGGACTTGGAATCCAGGTTTTCTGACTCCTACTTTATTCCACATCTGTACACAGAGCCTTATCTCTTCTCAACTTGGCATTCAAGGCCACTTATTCTCTAGTTTCAACTACCTTTTCTTCCCTTCTCACCTCTCCCTCCTGCCTGTAACTGAACTATCTTTTATAACTATTTCAGTCTAAATATTTCCCAGCCTTCCCCTTTTGGCTTCTATTCTTTACCCTCCTTTTGCAGTCTAGATTCTTACCATCCTTTAAATGGCTCTCCTTTTATGAGCACCAACTGTTGAAGTACCATTCATTCACTCTGCTCAAGTTTTTAACACACAAAATTGGTCACCTTCACAATGTTCTGGCAATGTGAGTAGGAATTATTTACTTCAATTTATAGATGAGGAAGTGGTCTCAGAGAAGTAAATTAACTTACTCAAGATCACCTAGCAGGTAAGGAGTCTTGCTCAAATGCCACCTCCTTTCAAAAGCCTTCCAGGGTTATACTGACCGAAGTGATCTGCCTTGCTTCTAAAATCCTTTAGCAGTCACTTCTCCCTTATTCAAATTCAGCATTTGAGATCTTGGGTTATCTTTTCTTGTGTTTTTATCTTATATCCCCAACTGGATATTTGTTCATCTGTGTCCCCGGGGCCCAGTTTAGATCCCACAGAGTAACTTCTCAGTAAATGTTAAGCCGAGGCATAGAAGGCAAAGCTCTGGACCTGGATTATATGGTCTGAGTTCTCCTACACTCATGTTATGACACTAACTTCTATGACCTTGCACAACAGTGAGCTCTCCAGGATGGGGGCCCTGTTCATCCTGCCCCTCCTTTATTCCTGGGCCTGAGAGTTGCATGGATGGCTGCACAGACTTCACTGTTCAGAACCTCATTTTTCTCATCTGCATTTTGAAAGGTAGAATTGGATGATCTGAGGATCATTTTCCATCCAGATGTTAACCTAGTTTTGTGAGTCCGAACGATTGCTTTTCTCCACACCAATGTGATCTTGAGCTACAGAGTTTCAGCCCAGGGAGGCATAGCATAGCTTCTCATTTTAGTTTGGTGGCCGCATGTCAAACTTTGCCCTTGACCTTGTCAAACTGAAGAGTAGCCCAGGAGCTTGGCCCCAACACATTCAGAAATCCTAATACCACCCTCTCATCCTCTCTCCTTCTCTCTTTTGTCTGTTTTACACACACACACACACACACACACACACACACACCCCATTGGAAGATAATTTCATCTGAAGTACTTTCTTTAGGTTTTACATTTTAACAGCCTTTTGACTTAGAAGTCAACAATGATTTGTAGGAGGGAAAGTGTTGCTCTTTTAGAAAAACCAGAGTCCCTATTGTTGTTCATGCCTAACCCATTGGATGTATTTTATAGGCACAAAGAGTGCAAGAAAGAGCCATTGTCGTGAAAATAGAAACCCAAGGATTGCTCCTCTGCTCAGTGGAAAAGGCCATTTTCATCAGTAGGGGCTTGTGAACAAAGACCACCTCTTTTTTTTTTTTTCTGGGCAGTTCATTTATCATCCTTACCCTACTTAAATCATTTCTTTGGCTTTCTTTTTTTTTTTTTTTGAATTAAATCTCTATTCACTTTATGCTTAGGAGAAGAAAATGATTTAGAACACGTTGATAGGACCAATTAAATTGTGCCATCCATTGAATGCCCAATGTGTAGCAGGCACTGTTCAGTGAGTTGCATGACTTATTACTGTCATCCTCACAACCTCCATTATGAGGAAAGACCTGAGCTCAGAGAGATTAAGGCCCTTATCCACCTCATCCCGTCATAGGAAAGCTGAGGTTCACACTTAAGACTCTGATACTGAACTCCGACCTCTGACCAGCTGGGCCCTCATCCCTAAGATCATTTGGGAAGATTCAGCATTTGAGTACATTTTGGAATAGTTATGTGCTTATAAGCTGCCTTCTCAGCTTTACTAACAAGTCGTGAGGAGAGAAGCCTGGCCTGGGAACAGTGTAAGAGCATGTTTAACACATGCAAATGCAAATACACACACACACACACACACACACACACACACACACACACCCTTCGGAGATTGGATTTAACTAATTACCTGGCCATATGCTACATCCAACATTGGGCAACATGCTACAGAATGCATTTAGGCTATAGCAGCTGGGAACCTTGGAGGTCTATGAGAAACCGCAGTCTCTAAAGTGTCAGTTTAAGCCCTGCACACAAAGTATTTTACTACAAGGAGACAGTTTCAGAGAAGATTCGGATTTTTACCTCTGGAGCTCTCTTGTTTAAACTTTTATTTTTGGACATGTCCAATGAGAGACAAGTCTGAAAAGTCCAGCTTGAAATCTGTGCAGAAAAAAACAAAAAACAGATTATCTGGGGTTGAGCTTAAAGAATGAGAAAATGAGGAGAAATAATATCCTTCTGTATTTGTGTAGTGCTTTACATTTAGCAGGTGTTGTGAGCACATGTAAGCAGTGGGCGAGGTGCCAGAGGCCTCTTTCCCACTCCTGGTTCTTCTCTTCCTCAGACTCATGTGGTGGGCAAGCCTCTTCCATCCTCTGGGTTTGAATTTCCTTGTGTAACATGAGAGAGTTGGACGACTTGTACACTGAGGTCCCTCACACTCAGTCATGCTGAGATTCAATACCAGTAAAAAGGGAATAAATGCTCTTCTTCCCCCATCTGCCTTACCTCAGCCTGCCTTGTGTCAGGGCTGTGGAGATATCCCTTCCCTTCTACACAGGCCTTGTATCCTATCAGCTATAATCCCTCTCATGCCTATTGGTACTTGAACTGACAGAAACCCTCCAAGTTCTCCTGGGAAGACACTTGGCTTAGTAAGATCTCAGTTGAGTTGAGGGATTCATCTGCCATTTTAGTTTAGACCAGATAGCAATCTAAGGGCTGTTCCAATTCAAGAATTTAGAATTCCATAAAAGGGTACCTTTTAGGATATACTTGAAAAACCCCTAAGCAGATTCACTGAGTGCTGTTTCAACACTTTGTATGGCAGTGCTTTTAGCAAACACCCTTGATCCTCGAGTTTGATCTGCACTAGGATCCCTGCATGCAAGAGGGAGCCAGCCTTGAGTTTGTTTACTTCTCCTTTTTGACTGGTCTGGCCTCAATTAGTTTCTAGCATTTGAGGTTTTGGGCATTTTGAACTCATAATGATTCATTTTAACTCATGATGAACCTTGTTCTCTTGATATGCATTTTAGAAGACAAATCTGACCTTGAAAACAGTGTGATGCAGAAGAAAATAAAAATCCCCAAACTTTCTCTTAATCATGTAGAAGAAGATGGAGAGGTTAAAGATTATGGGGAAGAAGATGTACAGCTTAGACACATCAAGGTAACAAAATCTTTTCTTTCTTTGGAAGCATGTGGGAGAATTTTCAGATATCTCATAGCTAAAGAATTTCAGTCTGGCTTCCTCTCCCCATGTAAATGTCCCCTGGTATCACAAGCCATGATTTTTTTCAGGGTAGGGGAAGCATGGGACAACTAGTGTGTATTTGCCTTCCTGGCCAGCTTTCCAGAGAGCCCCGATTCATGCTGTGCCACTAAGCACAGTCCTGTTTGCATAGTGTGTGCAGTGTGATCACTGTTGGAGGTTTGGAACGATGTGTTTCTCCTTGGCCCACAGCTCTGGAGAGGTCACTGCTGAGCTCCAAGAACATTACGCAGCTGTTCTTGGGCAGAAGTTTAGAGCCAGTCACTATCAGATTGCCCCCAAACAGCTAGGCTGGACTCATTGGGAAGTACACAAAGTTCACAGAAGGGATTTGTGAGACCCTGGGTTAGATGAAAATGCATGAGGTTGCATTTTCTTGCTCTGTGCCCCAGTTGATCTCCTCCAGCCTTCACTTTGGAAACTGCTGAAAATCTTGTTTGGCAAGCTAGCTGTTTTTTTCTGTGCAGTAGATACCTGAGAGGAAGGGAGAAGGAGGATAAGGAAATGGGCTGTCTTCTGCATTGACCATGGTCTGATTTTGGACACAAGGTTGAGGATGTTCCCAAGGAACGTAGTTGAGTTCAGTTCACAGCATTCACTGTACTCCTGCTATGGGCCTGGCCCCGTGCTGGTACCTGGAGCCGTTAGCCAGACAGGGTCTCTGCCTCCAGGGTTCTCACATTATAGTGACACAGACATATCGTAGTGATCACTTTAGACAAATGATAGATTCATCTGCACTAGTAGCACCTTATCCCAGCAGATAAAAGGACTTAAGATTTTGTCATGTAACACAGTATGAGAGTCATGGTTCCATTGGGCTGGGTTTTGTTTGGTTTTCTTAAATTTCCTGAAACGTTGTGAGAAGTGCCTGGAATCTCATGTCCTCAGTTGTCTGCACTTCCTACCAGTGCCCCAGTCAGGAAAGCTCCTAACCCTTCCGCCCTGAGTGAAGAATTCAGTTAGTTGATCCTGTAACTCTCACTGCCCCTCAGTGGAAGCTATGACTACTTGAGCTAGATTTTCCTCAAGCACAGGAACCACAAGCCCTGGGGGATCGTAGATCATTCTCTTGTAAATGAACTGTCCTCTCTCTATCCTCTCTCTATCCTCTGTCTTGCTGAGGGAGAGGCTGGCAGATGGCGGGAAAGGAGACTTGTGCTGGAAATGAGATTCCAAATTCTGGTTTTGGCTCTGTCTGTATCTCACCATGTGACCCTAAGTGTAGTCCTTCCCCTCGCTGACCCTCAGCGTTCTCATCAATAACGTGAGGGAGTTAAACCAAAAGTACCCTTCAATGCTAGAATTCTTTGAACTTTTCAGTTGAGTAAACATTTTTCAAGCGCCTACTGAGAGCCAGTTCTAAGTGAGTAGGCAGAGGAGAAACAGAAAATAAGACATGTTTTCTGCCCTAGGTTAGAGAAGATTAGAGTTTTTAACACCCTTTCCATCTAAAGCTTTCTTTATGGAAAGTTTGCACAGTGAATTGCCTTTAGGGGAGGAATTTTATGTTTTTGTTGTTGAAGAAATTTGTGACTCCTCTGGGACCACTTGGCCTGACCTAATTTCTCCTTGATGCTCCACAAATAAATATTGCGCACCCTCATGAGCAAGTCACTGCCTAGGCATTGTGGGTGGGCTGGGGTCTGGGGTGTTGGGAAGGGCGGTCATGGCATACGCATCCAAGAGGCAGAGTGGTTAAAAGGAAAAAGTGCAGGCCTGGGAAACCCGTGTCCTGGTTCTGCCACTGGCTGACTATGGCTTTGGGCAAGCCCCTTCCCCACGCGGAACCTCTGTTTCCCCATTTGTAAAATGAAGGGCTTTGACTAAGTGTTTGCACAGGTTTCTCCAAGCACTGATGTTCTGTGATTCTGTGATTTTAGGATTGTCTGGGGAAATATTGAGCTGCAGTCCAAGAAAGTCCCAGCTGCCCTTGCCTGAACTGATTCTCGTTGTCCTACACAGAGACCTGAGGGGCGAAAGCCGAGCGAAGTGGCGCACAAGAGCATCGAGGCAGTGGTGGCTCGGCTAGAGAAGCAGAACGGCCTGAGCCTGGGCCATAACACGTGTCCGGAAGAGGTCTTCGTGGAGGCCTCGCCAGGCACAGAGGACATGGACAGTCTAGAAGATGCTGTGGTGCCCCGGGCTCTGTATGAGGAGCTGCTGCGCAACTACCAGCAGCAACAGGAGGAGATGCGCCACCTCCAGCAGGAGCTGGAGCGGACTCGGAGGCAGCTGGTGCAGCAGGCCAAGAAGCTCAAGGAGTACGGCGCACTCGTGTCCGAAATGAAGGAGCTCCGTGACCTTAACCGGAGGCTCCAGGACGTGCTGCTCCTGCGGCTTGGCAGCGGTGAGTGCCCCAGCAGGCCACCTACCACTCTACCTGGGCGGAGCACTTGTTGCAGATCCTCTTCCAGGAGGGAAAGGGGAGAGGCAGGCCAAGTGCCCCTGAGGCTAGGGAAGGACAGACACTTGGCTTCTCAGTAACCTCAAGAAAGAGTCACTCCCCACTCATAGTGAATCTGATAGGAGCTTATGTTTGCAGCAGCCTTGGCTATGGGAACATTGTCAAACATGGCTCAGAGAATAAGAGCTGACAAAATATTTATCACTGCTCACTCATTTATGCATTCACTCAGCAAGGGGCAGTACCAGGGACTGCTGGGAACCTCTCCAGGGAGGTTTCAGGATAGTACAAAGAAGTAGACATGATCCTAACAACATGTATTAGTTTAAGTCAGAAAGTGATAAATGCCAAAGGAGGATGCTGAAAAAATAATATGAAAAAGTTCAGGGGTTGAAGAGGTTACTTGTAACTGAGAATATAGAGAGACTTCAGTAAGGTACTGGGCTTTGAAGGGTGAGCAGTGTTTCAAGGCACAAGAGGAGGCTGAGCAGACCCTTGAGCATGGGAAAATAAATACCTGGAGCACACTGAGAGGAATAAAGCAAATGTGCTTTGAGGACAGAAGATGGAAGGCCTTGAAAACTTTACCAGCCTGGGATGTCTGGACTTGTTTTGGTAGGAATGGAAAGCATTAGAAAGCTTTTGAGCAGGGAGGCACGTGACCTTAGGAAGATGAATATAAAGACGTATAAAACTCCTTTGGTTTGCTCATAGAACTTAATAGGCTCTTATGTTGCACCCTATTTTAACTAATCAGGTTTTTAGGTTTTCTGATCTAGAGTGGTTTAGAAGCAGGGATTGAGAAATCTGAAAGGCAGCATCCTGGACAGCCAGAAGAAATAACTGCTTACCAGACAGGAAAAGACAGAAAAATGCTTTCAGAACATAAGAATCCAGAACTGTAAAAGATAGAGGCCATTCAGGATTGAGAAAATCAGTATAGCACGGGTTCATTGCCTCCATAGCCCCCGAGGACGGTAACTAATAACTCTGAGTTAGTGTGCTTTGCTTGAAGAAGGTGGTAATCTAATTTAGAAATATCCCCAAAGTTAAAATCAAATACAGTTTTGCACTTATGACGGAAGATTTCCATTATCTAGATAATGTATTTAGATATGAAGCTTCATTCTTCTGTGATGTATTCTTACCCTACTTTACTTATATTTGGAGGTATCATTTGCCTCTTAAAAAGTATGTTCTGAAGGCAGTGGCTCAGTAGATCTTCCGGATGGTCCAAGGAGTCAGCAGAGAGGCCTTTTCATGCCCTTGTCATAGAATAGGAAACTACATTGGGACAGAGTCACTTAGGGAGGCAGAGGTAGAGTTCTGTCTCAACTCCAGCCACTCAGTTCATAGGCTGGAGTTTGTCCACTCCCCAGCTCTGTCATTGCCTTGGCCATTGTGCCAAGTCACAGTCTGTAGAGGTTCACAGGGACACTAAAAGTTACATATGGTTTGCCACTTCAAAAGTTAGTAAAATTCTTTATTAAAATAAAATCTCAAAGAGAAATCATAAATGTAAAAATTGGTAAAAGCTGTATTGGTTTCATAGCGTGATGGGGATGGGGATAACTGAAATTTTCAGAGAGAAAAAATGTTTCCCAATCTTGAAGTGAATAATTTTTACTTTCAGTGTGCTTTGTAGGCTGTGCCTTTTATAAACTTCTTGGAAGCTCGCGGGGAAGTACCCCCAAAACAGAAATTCTTCGTACTTCTTGCAACTCCCAGGGAAAGTACCTGTTTTTCATGATTATGAACTGACCTTAAACTCTAAGCCTCTGGGGTAATAGGACACCTGCATTTTACATCCTTATATGCCTCTTTTTGTCCGAAAACATGCAAAAAAGAAAAACTTGACCCGAAGCATAGTTTCAGTGTCTCTATCTTTCTAGGCTCTCCCATCCCGCAGGCCTTGAAGGCCATTACACAGGCCAGTGGCTAGCTCTTCCCTGATCTGAGGAGTCACTATCATCATTACAATGGATTGGACTCAACATAAATCAGCTTGAGCCCCAAGTATGCACAAAGCACCCACCTTGTCCTCTCAGGGCTGCAGGTATCCTGGAAAATCACACTGTCTGTCCCTCATCAGCAAAAGCTTAAAAGTCTATTGATTCACACATGTTAATAGGAGAATGGTAATGTGCTAAGTTCCAAGACAAATCCACAGGAATAAAATAAAAGAAAGGATCTCTACCCTTAAAAGGAGGTTGTATGTTTTCATGGAAATATAGTCTTTGGAACCAGACAGGCCTGGAATCAAATCCCAACTTCCCTACTTCTCAACTCTGTGGCTTTTGGAACTTTATGTCCTTCTTTCCTTTCTTCCTCCCTTTCCTATGACCTTGTTTTCTTCCACAAATACTTCCTGGTCTCCTGCTACGCGCCAGGCATCTTGCCTAGTGTAGGAATTCAGTATATTTGCCATACAGCTTTTGCCCTCTGCCCTTGAGGAGTTCAAAGTTTGATGAGGGAAACAGATCCTGAAACAATCAATGACAGCACAGTACATAATTCCATTATAGGGACAAAACCATGGTGGACTGCGGGACAGCAGAGGGGAGTACCCATCTGATTTCGAGAGGTCAGAGAAGGAAGGCTTCCTGAAGGAAACAACTTTTAGGCTGAAGCCTGAAGGATGAATTTTTGTTATCGAAGCAGGAATGAGTAGATAGGGAGAGTGAGGAGCAATTTAGGCAAAGCGCATGTATGTCTGTGACCCTCAGTGCTATCATCTGTAAAATGGGAATGATGGATAGTGCTGCAGCCTTGTGACACACAGCATAGTGCCTGACATTCTATTCCTGCTTGATTACTGTTAGCTCCTGTTCAACATCATTTGGGGGAGGAGCTAAGACAGGGTTGACTTTGACTTTTAACTCAGGCACCCCAGCTGTAGTTGGCTATATGACCTTGGGCAGGTTAACTAACATCTCTGCCTCAGTATCCTCTTACATTATAGAATGTAAGAAAGGTCATATATGTTCGTTCGTTTGTTTATACAGTCTGCTAACATTGACCAAATACTTTCTGAACCTAGGAACTTGGGGAGATACAAAGAAGACTAAGACATTGGGAAGTAGGGAGAGGGTAGTGATAGAGGTAAACATGTAATCAAAATGCAGAGAACCAGTTCTGAGGGAGGGGTTACCATCTGAAGGGAGAACTCTTGGAAAGATGGCAGAGAACAACCAGAAAGCAAATGAGAGACCCTTGTTTGACTCTCACCTTCACTGGCCGTCTGAGAAACACATCCTGGCTTAGGGTTGATGTAGGGCCCGGGCTTTGCCATTCTCTGCCCCCTGGGCCTCATTTGAATGTTGCTCCTGGAGGCATATCCTTGAGTATTTTCATCCGTCGACCTCAGCTAGGGACCCAGCTCAAGGGCTTTGCCTGGCTTGGGTGCTGGATCATTCACACCGTAACCGGCAAATTCAGAGACGAGAGAGGCCAACAGGTTAGGAGGTGCTTAGTTTTCAAAAGAAATCTACCTCCAGGAAGTATCATTATTGACTCACCCAAGTAGTGGAGTCCTAAGAGTGGTAGATGGTAGCGGAGAGCAATATAGTCTGGTCTTTACAGACTGATGGTCAGGAGACCCTTGGGAGACTGATGGGGACTCAGAGTGGGAATTGGGTCCGTTAGCAGCCAGGAGTTATAGTGGCGCACCTTGGGAGGTTGGGGTCAGAAAGGTGGAGGCACACCCAAGGGTGGGGGATAGCAGCAAGATAGTATGTTTCAGAGGCTTCATTGAGTCGTACACATCTTCATTCATACATTCATTCTACACACAAGAAAAGATGGATTTAACAGGAAGTGTTCCAGCATGGAGTCATGGAATTGTGAAAGAACTTAGGCTATAGACTGTTACCCTCATTTTGCTGACAAGGAAACAAGCCCAGAAAGTGTCACTGGTTTATTCCCAAGGGTCTCCTGACCCCTGGTCCTGTGTGCCTCTCTCTGGACTCTCACCCACATGGCCTTCTTTAGCTCTTAGACTTCATTTTTCCCAACATGGGGGTGTCCTCTCCATCCCCTTTACTCCCCACCAAGGACATCATCTCTCTTTGTAAAACAGAACTTTCCTTGTCTATGATCTTAGCATGGTAAACAACCCTTTCTGGGAAGGAAGCTCGTCCTTCTCCGCTGTCAAAAATAAATAAGGAAGCATATGTACTAACTGTGGCCCTGTGACCCCCGTATTGTAAGTGGTCAATAAATGCCAGTCCCCTTTTCCTTCTTCTCCCTTTCCTGCCCACCCTCCCCCAAATAAGTAAATGCCGAGGACGGACAAAGCATGGTGGCATACCAATTTACAAGGTACAGATGTTTTTGCTTGTATTTGCATCTAGTCCTTATTTATTTTATTCAGTGAACAGTTATTGAGGGTTTCCTTTGTGCCAGGACTGGATTAGATGCTGGGAATAATATAATGAACAAGACAGACGGTCTTTTTAAAAACAATTCACAAGTAGATTAGAATAGTGCGTTTAAACTGGGCGTTGGCAACCACAGAGAATTTTATGGGATTAAGGGAAGCAGAACAATAGAGACCCAATTGGGGGAGGGTAGACGCCCGTGTATGAGAATGGAGTAAATTCCAGGGTCTCTCTTGGTTTCTCCTCAGCTAGATTCCCTGTTCTTAGAAGGCAAAGTCCAAGGCCACGGTGTCCTCCCCAGTTTCTTACACTGTAAGTACCACTTAGATAGTATAATTCATTGTGGTGTGACTCGGGTAACGTTAGTTCAAATAAGATTCTCAAGGGCTCTGTGAGGAATACAAAGAGGAGCAGACGTAATCCTTGCTTTCCGGATGCACACAGGTCTCACAGGGAACACAAACATGTACGCAGCATGACACCAGGCAAATAAAATCATGCTGTAATTGCAGGAGAGGGGCAGATGAGGGTTTTAGATTTCATGTGTGCTTTGTCAGGAAGATA